ATATCAACAAAGTATGAGTGCAATCTGTGGGAAAAGACGTTTTTATGCCGAATCTGACTGCAGATAAAAAATCGAGTTAATACATCGACACGCTATGTATGTCCACTGATTGCAAGCACTTACTTATTATCAATACCAGAAATCAAGTGGGTTTCTCCGAAGCGTTGGAAGTAAGCAACTGAGATTAAATTAGAGGTTATTGTGCGCCTAAACCACCTTTGCAATTTCTATTGAAGGAAATGAATTGGTGACTCGGTACTGCAGGAACAGGCAATGCTTTAACCGGTTTGCCTCCTCCCAAATTATTTTACTACTTAAGCGTCTAAGGATATGTTTTCAACCTCCTAGTGACGGGAATGTAAGAGCACAAAGAAAAAACGTTAAATTTGGCAGGATAACAAGGTAATGTGCATGACGAACATGAAGATGAAAAGCACAGTTATGTCACAGAAAGCCCCAATTGAACCGACGGTTAGTGACGAGAATGGTAGTCAGTGGCAGCTGGGCGTGGCAGATTTATTGAAATCCTTTCCTAGGATGTTGAATAGCTGACTTTCGATGAGAATGTGCATTGCTGATGCCAGCAGTAGTGACAATTCCGTCGATCATGAATTGGGTTCACACTCTTATTTTTTACTGTTAAATTTTAGCAGTTGGGTTCCAAATGCCTCCGTATGGAGACGTCGACTTTAACCTCATTAACAACACATATTTACACTTAACTTTGCAAACTGTGGTTTTTACTCTCACGCGCGCCTAAAAAATCATTTTCAATTCCATTGTCAAACATATTATAAGGAAGTTAACGAGTATACTTGTTTGTTCTTGACTTCAGGAAGGGAATATGCTAACTGTCAGACCTGGAAAGCCAATATAAAATACACAGCAGAATAACATATATACCATTGGCTAGATTACTTTTTTAACAAGCGAGCATTATACATGGCCGAATGCAATGAGCTGTTGGACTTTGGAACGGATCCGTTACCCCATTCCTTTCTCTCTTGCAGCCCTCTCAAGCACCTACCTTTCCAACACCCACTAATAGGGTCAAGTCAAAAAAATATTTTAGCGAGAGACGTTTTCCCCGAACCGCGCATGGAATGGAATGAGATAACCACCGCTGCTGCATAGTCACGACGGTGGGGCGTAGTGCACTCTTGGGAACAGAAACATCACCAGGTTGCCATAAGGAGTAATATTGCCTTACAAATGTCATACTTGGGCCTTTTTTTATTCTCACGCACCCTTTCGTCTAGATGAATTTTTATTTCTCTTTTTCATGCTAAGCAACTGCAGACCAAAGGCGGGAAATTTCTCATGCTAATAAAATCCTCTAACAATAGACATCTGACCGAAGAATGCAGGTACCTGCAGTTCTGCGCATATTTTAAAGTTCCGTTTATCTACCGGAGTCGCAGACCCGGCAAAATACGGTAGTACACTTAGGACAGCATCATAGAAGACGCAATCCAATCCTGATCAAGGGTGAAGATAACGCGGTATCATTAGCCTTCAGGGAATTAGCTTTGATCAATGCCGGTTTTTGCAGAGAAAAGGTTTCCTTTCCACTGCACATAGGAATTGGTGATCTGCCTGGAACAACAAGAAGTGCTGTCATCTCGGGCTGTTTTTACTTGCTACCATAAATGATGTGCAAGCATTTACACCCATTCATACATTTCTGGTGCACAACACACTTTTAGTAGCAAAGAATGCATATAAGTCTGCCACTGATTTAAGTAGGAAGCCAAAGGACGTCTAAGCTGTGTGGTGCTTATTGTCTGACGCCAACGTAACCATCAATTGGTAAAAGCATGAGAGGAGAAGTAATCATGAAATGCCTCCAGTGAATGTTAAGCAAATGTCTCAGCCGAGCAGTCCAAAATATGAACCGAGAACACCCATGAATGCGTGCAAAATTAGTAATTTCTACGCTTTTATTTAGGAAAGGAAGTAGACAATTTGCAATTACGAAGAACCTAAGACTGCGGAGCAAAGATAAGTAGCAACCCTTGATATGCACTCCTCCTCTAAATAGTAAATGCAAATTCAAATTAGCTGATGGCCACAAAGCTTGTAGAGCATGCTATAAAATAACGCAAGTGTCACATGAGCTATTTTGGCAGCAATATACTGGAATAATTAAAATTATCTTTCGGCCGCAGCATATTTTAAAAGATTGAAGTAAAAGAATCTGTTGCTAGTGAGTCAAATAAAAGCCAATTGAGGGGGAGCTTGTGAATCAAAATTCACATGCCAATTATGGTTTCAATGTGTACCACTTATAGGTCTAAAATGGTTATTTGCGGAGACTTTTAGAGATGGCACAACAGATACCAAATTTTCACTGTTTCGAGTTTCACTTATCGGCGCTTTTGCTGTGAAAGTCAGCATAATTCACTCTTTCAGTTATAAACAATTGTATAAATTTGTTTTATTCCATACAACATGCTCTGACGATCGTGTAAGAGAATGTCATTGTGCAAACTTAAATGCATACGTATCACGTTGCTAGAGTAAAAAATAAACCTCTGCAGGGAGACATCGATTGCAGGTGTTGAACTTTTGCGTTGGAGAGGGGAAAACTATCCACTCTGATCATTTGGTTAAGACATTTGCTAAGCATTCACTAGAGGCAATTCATTGTTACTTCTCCTCTCGTGCTTGTACCAATTGATGTTTACATTGGCATCGCACAATGAGTACTAAACAGCTTGGACGTCCTATGGCTTCCTGCTTAAATCCATGGCAGACTTATATGCATTCCTTGCCAATGAAAGTGTGATTGGGCACCAGAAAGGCATGAAAAGATGTCGGTGGAGTTAAGGTGGTACTTACACATCAAACTGATGATAAACAGAATTTGCAGCAGTAAGCAGACCAAGATGTATGCTAAAACTTTTTTAAATTTAATTCTATAATGGACTGATTTAATCCTGCATGAGCATTTCACTTTGCATACCTACCGACTGTATTTGTACGAAGACGCTGTTTTAAAGCTAGGAGTCATACATGACACTTTTGACAATAATTCACAACCGATTATGTCTGCGGATCCTCTGCAATAGCTCAGGTTAATCAGCTTTGAAATAAACGTACTTATGTACGGTCTTGAACCATCACTGTCTCTTCAACGGTCTTTTTCAAAAAAGGTCCGATCTTTGCTTCATTTTCCTCCTGTGGGAACAAGCAGGCTATCAACATGTTGTACCAGTCTTGCTGATGCCTAACCATTGGCACTTTATGTGCCTACTGAGGTGATTTGCCCTGCTACACCCACTATATTCGTCAGGAGGCAGACTCATTCTATACGTATGAACAGCAGGGTCACACAGATAAAAAGAGAACCGATGCCATAGGTGATGTCAGTTGTCCGTCTCTGTGTTAAACTAATGAATACAGAAAGGCTATCCCTGCCTTCTTTAGAGAGCCCATTACAAGACCTCGATCCGACACCTCCTCTTCGTGGGCCACTCGTAAGGTAGACGGGTGAAGTAGGGGCAGTATTGGGACTAGATTAGGGACGAAAGCTGGTAGCGTCAGCAAATGCATTTGCAACCGGAGCGATTCCACACGGTCACTTAGTATGAACTGACAAAGAGCGCAGTCACACATTTTTTGCACATGTTTATAAACATATATGACTTTGGCAGTGTATACAACACCTATTCTGTTAAACACTGCTTCTAATAAGTTCTAAATCTTTACTCGTGGAGCAGCCAGTTGTTGAAATCTTGTGTAATTGTCCTTCTTCTTAATGTCAACTACCGAGGAATTCACAAATCACACCTGTGGACACGTTACAGTGATTATACATGCTGCAAAACTAACTAAGTGGGGAATTTTTACCTCTACACATCGTTTCCGGTAAATTTGCCTGCGTCGGCCAGATTGAGATCAAGGACCTAGCAGAAGTGGTTCAAAATACCCAAAATACAGGCTTGAAAAATTAAAATAGTTTGGCAGCTCCTGTTGGTGAATAAGAGCAATCAAAATCCCGCCACATTTGTGTTTTGCCTCTTTGTCAGTATAGTACCGGTGTGTTAACACTTTTGCCACAATTTGCTACTATTTTGCACCGCAACTTATCCTTCGTAATACAGTAGACATCAAGCTAGTGTCGCTAAACTGAAATTGATTTAACCACGGATAAAAGCAATTGTTACTAATGCAGCTGCGTGAATTACTTTGCAACACTCATTCGGTTCAAACCCATTCGTACTCAAGTTTGTTCTTATCACCCTTCAAGTCATCCCGTGTTATTCAAATTTGACGGCAAAGCGTTCCACAATTGGATTGCATAAAATAGGGCTTGTCGAGCAGTCTGTTACATGCCCTCTCATTACAATAGATGCTGATAGAAATCAGCACCAACGCTGCACAAAATTGTCTACTACGATGCAAATGAGGAAAGCTTTTGCGCTGCAACTTTACTTGTCTCCGTAAATCTAGTTAAAAAGATTATGCGTATATCTCTGTGTGGTCCAGTATTTTGTTGCTAATCATGATGAGTATGTAATAGCTAACAAAAGCAAAGGGCATTAAAGTCTGTATAAACAAATGATGGAACAGAAAGAAGAAACATAGAGAAGGAACTTAACAGCTAAAGTCACTAATGACACATACTTTGTTTCCTTACTCCCTCTATCCTTAGGTCATCTTGAGGATGGCGTAAGATCGCGCTGTGTTGCACCACCACGTTGTAGTCTCAAGCGGTGACTGAAGGTCACTCAACTATCACAGCTTCTATTTAGTCATCATTTGCAAGTTAGCTATTTTACATAGACTCATTCCCATCTCTGAAACTGTTATTAATGATTTAATTTATTTTTGTCAGTGCACTGAATAACAAAATCGTGTATAATGAGCAAGAATCCCAATAAATAGCGACTGCATTTTGGTAAAATAAATAGAGGAAACCACCGCTGGCGTTTACTTAGCTTGGCACACCCAACCACCTAGCCAGTACCACGAGGGCACAAAGTCATCTTATTTACATACATACATAGGTACGTTAATGAAACTTGAGGAATGATATAGGGCGTTATTTTATGAGTTGAAATGATGCGGCTTTATGTATATTAAAAATACTTTTTGCTTTGTACAAACAATAACATGAAACCGATTTGTCCATCAGTCATCTGCAAAAGCCCGCAGTCATCTTTTCACAAACTTCCTGCCAATGTGCCATAAAAGAAACAAGATGGAAGGTTTTTATTTTCATTTACCGAAATTAGCTTAAAATTTGTATAAGCACTCCTTACTTCAATTGTTGGCAATTAATATCTTCTACTAGGGATGGGGCTTCTTTGCCTGTACATTATTTCTCCTTTAATCATCAAGTAAGGTTAGCATGTTTGAGTAGCCAAATATATAAAAGTTAGGGATCAAACAATGCCGGAATATGTAGCTACCAAAAATGTGTG